CTTGAGTCATGTAGGACGTAACTATCACCTTGGAAAGTGATGCAAAACCAACCCTGCTGGGGTCAGGGAAGCCCAGCTTGGACATCTTGAAGAGCTGGCACACAGCTCACCAGGGCTAACGCTCGCTGGAGGACTGCTTGGAAGACATAGAAAGCCTTAACACTTTGATTCACTGGAAAGGCTCTGTAAATATTTTCAGGTGTGTGGGGAAAGCACCTGAAGCTGCTTGGCCTTTGTGAAGACCTCTGTGCCAACAGCAGCATCGTGGGTCCCCCTGTAAACAGGAAAGAACAATACAATAAAGCCCTGCACTTACCATTGCTCTGCTGTTTGCAGGGACTCCTTGTCCACTTCCAGGGGAAGGGGAAGAGATTTTTTGTTGCTGGGTGACAGTGAAGGATCTCTCAAAAGCGAGGTACTGGTGACTCACAAGAGGCTGCTGAGAATGGGATGGAATTACCCTCACCAGAGGTTTACCTAACCCAGGCTCAGAAAAATCCATAGAGAGAGAACTGATCCCACAGTTCTGAGAGGATCTCTGAAGGCCTCCACAAGTTCTTTTGAGCAGAAGTTTCCCTTTCAAAGATTCTATGACCCTTATTAAGCAAGCAGAAATGGGCTGTAGAGACAGAGGTCAGGAGCTCTGTCTCCTCAATGTAGCAAAACTTCCCAGAAGGCAGCAAGAGCATACATTTAACTCCCTTCCTTTAGTTATGTGAACAGGTGAAAATGTAAAGTAACCCTCTCAGGCTGGGTGCAGCAGGCAGGCCTGGGGCTTCTTAATTTGGCACCAAAACCCCCTGGCAGCCGATGCCTTTGGAGGGTGAAGTGCTTTCCCTGCCTTAGGGCCGGAGATCACAGGCTCTCCTGTCTACAAAACAAACTAAAGCAGCCAAATATCTTCGGATTTGGTGGCTGCATTTTGCTCTGTGGAAAATGAATTGTGTATGTTTGATACACACACACGGCACCGCGTTTCTGAGGGGCTTTTTCATTCATTCATTCATTCAATTTTATCCTGACTTGGGAGGTGCTTGTCTGGACAGCCATAAAGCATTTGTTGTCAAGTACGCGCTACACGAAGATCTGGATTTGAGCTCTCACTATGACAATGCAGAAGTCACCTTAAACGTTTCCCTGGGAAAAGACTTCACGGAAGGCAACTTGTACTTTGGTGATTTCAGCCAGGTACTGAGCTTATTCCTAATCTGGACCCTGATTCCCTTCCCCACCCCCTGATTTCAAGGCATTAACTGTGTTCTGAGAAACAATTATTCCCTTCTGGCAGTCAAATCTACTCTTTCCCTTCTCCCTTTTTAAAAAGCTCTTGGTAATACAGAAGCCTTTTCTGCTACAAGTCCATTACCAATATTCAAGCTAATTGCAGCCAAGTCAGAGAGAGGACAGAGACAGCTGTCATGCTAGAAACTGGAGTGAAGTAAACCACCCTATCTTTCCCCAACTGCAATAATGAGCAGGGAGGTGCTGAAAGAGAGAGAAGTAATTTATTTCAGATGAGACTTAAATCTGTAGCCCCTATTTCCAGGCGACTCTTAGCAAGAGAGGAGTAGAAGCATCCCTACACTGGTGAAGCAGGTTTTTTGATTGAAACTCCTTCTTTAAGTTCCCTCTGGACCTGGTACTCAGAATATCTTAATTGGAAACAGCTGTACTAAACTGCTGCCGAGCCACCCCTGAAGTGGCTGCATTTCAGAGGTGCAGCGAGTCCCCTGCACATTGCTCACTGGGTGCTGTGGGTGAAGAAGTAACAAGTAAAAAAGTTTAGCTATTTGAGCACTGTTGTGCTAGGGAATTTCTGGCAAAATGCTGTATCTGCCTCCTGTTGTTCCAGGATCCTACCCCTGTGCCAAAGTACATAGAGATCGAACACGTGGGAGCCCAGGGGCTGTTACACCGAGGAGGGCAGATCCATGGGGCACTTCCCGTTGCCTCCGGGGAACGCTGGAACCTCATTATTTGGATGAGATCATCTGCCATCCGCAACCAGCTCTGCCCCATGTGCAACAAGAAACCTGAGCTGGTGGAAGCAGAGGGGTTTGGAGATGGGTTCACAGAAACCCTTGAAGATGATGCGCCCGAGACTGTGAATGTCTGTTCCTTGTGGTAGCGGACAGCAGGGCCTGATTTCTCCAGACCAAGTTCCTTAAAGCTCCTTTCTGACCTCTCAGACTGCGCTAACAGACTCTCTTGGATGCTTGGGTCATGTAGGACGTAACTATCACCTTGGTACGTGATGCAAAACCAACCCTGCTGGGGTCAGGGAAGCCCAGCTCGGACATCTTGAAGAGCTGGTACACAGCTCACCAGGGCTAACGCTCGCTGGAGGACTGCTTGGAAGACATAGAAAGCCTTAACACTTTGATTCACTGGAAAGGCTCTGTAAATATTTTCAGGTGTGTGGGGAAAGCACCTGAAGCTGCTTGGCCTTTGTGAAGACCTCTGTGCCAACAGCAGCATCGTGGGTCCCCCTGTAAATGGGAAAGAACGGTAAAATAAAGCCCTGCGCTTTCCACTGCTCTGCTGTTTGCAGGGACTCCTTGTCCTCTTCCAGGGGAAGGGGAAGACATTTTTGTTGCTGGGTGACAGTGAAGGATCTCTCAAAAGCGAGGTACTGGTGACTCACAAGAGGCTGCTGAGAATGGGATGGAATTACCCTCACCAGAGGTTTACCTAACCCAGGCTCAGAAAAATCCATAGAGAGAGAACTGATCCCACAGTTCTGAGAGGATCTCTGAAGGCCTCCACAAGTTCTTTTGAGCAGAAGTTTCCCTTTCAAAGATTCTATGACCCTTATTAAGCAAGCAGAAATGGGCTGTAGAGACAGAGGTCAGGAGCTCTGTCTCCTCAATGTAGCAAAACTTCCCAGAAGGCAGCAAGAGCATACATTTAACTCCCTTCCTTTAGTTATGTGAACAGGTGAAAATGTAAAGTTTGGAGCAATAGAGGGAGAACTGATCCCACAGGGTGGCTGAGAGGATCTCTGAAGGCCTCCACAAGCTCTTTTGAGCAGAAATTTCCCTTTCAAAGATTCTATGACCCTTATTAAGCAAGCAGAAATGGGCTGTAGAGACAGAGGTCGGGAGCTCTGTCTCCTCAATGTAGCAAAACTTCCCAGAAGGCAGCAAGAGCATACATTTAACTCCCTTCCTTTAGTTATGTGAACAGGTGAAAATGTAAAATAACCCTTTCAGGCTGGTGCATCAGGCAGGCCTGGGGCTTCTTAATTTGGCACGTAACCCTCTCAGGCTGGGTGCAGCAGGCAGGCCTGGGGCTTCTTAATTTGGCACCAAAACCCCCTGGCAGCCGATGCCTTTGGAGGGTGAAGTGCTTTCCCTGCCTTAGGGCCGGAGATCACAGGCTCTCCTGTCTACAAAACAAACTAAAGCAGCCAAATATCTTCGGATTTGGTGGCTGCATTTTGCTCTGTGGAAAATGAATTGTGTATGTTTGATACACACACACGGCACCGCGTTTCTGAGGGGCTTTTTCATTCATTCATTCATTCAATTGCAGTAATTACAGCATCTGAACTTTACATCGTCACTAATTGTGAAAGGCTGATGTGAGTGGGTGCAGCTCGCACAGAGGGTGCCGATTGAAGCCTCCCCAGCAGACCCGCTGTATTTTTGGCTGGGGACACCATTAGCACACAGCGCTGATTAGCAATTCATTAGCAAAACCCCATTAAAATTGCCTCTCGGGAGGGAGATCGGCCGTAGTATTTGTGTGCGGGGCCAGAATTAGCCGGGCCCGGCCGCGGTGAGTCCCTCCCTTCTCCCTTCTCCCTCCTCCTCTTACCTGCGGCCGGTACGGCTGAGGGCACCGGGAGCGGGGGCGGCACCTTCCAGCGGGGCGGGGGGGCTGCTGACGGGGCGGACACAGGGAGGCCCCGCTCTTAAAGGGGCTGCTCTTAAAGGGCCAGCGCACCTAGTACTGAGCTCCTAAAGGGCCAGTGCACCTCGCGCAGGTTGTTAGAGGGTCTGCACGCCTTGTGCTAAACTCTTAAAGGGCCAGCACGGCACAGGCGCCCTGTGTTGGGTCCGGAGGGGCTGCCCCTCCGGCTGCGGAGGGCTCCCACCGCAGCAGCTCCCCGCCAAGGGCCGGGCCTGGGCCAAGTTAGAGGGACAGGAGGAGCTGCCCTGCTGTGGCCACCAATCTGATGTCAGGGGGGGAGGTGAGACCCCAGCTTTGGGGTGAAACCAGCCCAGGGTGGTGGCTTCAGGGCTCGTCCCCATCCTGCAGCATCGCCCCGGACTGGCTGGGATGCTCGTGGCTGCACCCACTCCGTACCCATTGACCCCGTTGGCGCAGTTGTGTAGAAGCAGGTCCTGCCACCACCATGTCCGTGGATGGAGCGGACACGAGACCCAAGTGCTGTCCCACCAGCAAGGCCCTGGTGCGAGGGACGGCTGCTGGGTGCGTGTGGATGAGGGGCTCTCATCCTCAGAAACTTCCCCGCGTGTCCTTAATTGTTTTGGGTTTTGCGTTGGTTTTTTTTTGGTCTTGATTGAAATTTCCGTTTGGAAATCAGTCAAAGGTCTGCTTCACTTGGGAACGCCGAGGTGGTAAACATGCCATTAATTAAATGCAGTAGTTGGAAGGTGGCTGTGAGAAAGCGTTTCCCAGATACTGCTCTGCCGATGGTGCCGGTTTGTTTTTTAAATTAATGAGAGCATATATCCATATATCACGCCGTCTCTGGCCTGTGGCTGCTGGCAGCCGCTCGGGCTGATGGACGGGGATGCCAGCTCAATGCATAATCATTCATTCAATTGCAGTAATTACAGCATCTGAACTTTACATAGTCACTAATTGTGAAAGGCTGATGTGAGTGGGTGCAGCTCGCACAGAGGGTGCCGATTGAAGCCTCCCCAGCAGACCCGCTGTATTTTTGGCTGGGGACACCATTAGCACACAGCGCTGATTAGCAATTCATTAGCAAAACCCCATTAAAATTGCCTCTCGGGAGGGAGATCGGCCGTAGTATTTGTGTGCGGGGCCAGAATTATCAACGGAACCAGTCGTCAAATCTCTTTCAGCAGAAAACCTTTGCGTTTCCCATCTGCGCCTGATTTTGGCCCAAAAATTTAACCCCGGGGGACCCGGAACCAAAGAGCTGAGCGCGGAACCAAAGAGCGCGGCTCGGTTGCCGGCCGGCCCCGCGCGCGGCGGCCGGAAGCGACGGGAGGTGGGCGCGGAGGAGGCGGCGGCGGCGGGAGCCCCGCTCGGGGCCGGGCCTGGCCGCGGTGAGTCCCTCCCTTCTCCCTCCTCCTCTTACCTGCGGCCGGTACGGCTGAGGGCACCGGGAGCGGGGGCGGCACCTTCCAGCGGGGCGGGGGGGCTGCTGACGGGGCGGACACAGGGAGGCCCCGCTCTTAAAGGGGCTGCTCTTAAAGGGCCAGCGCACCTAGTACTGAGCTCCTAAAGGGCCAGTGCACCTCGCGCAGGTTGTTAGAGGGTCTGCACGCCTTGTGCTAAACTCTTAAAGGGCCAGCACGGCACAGGCGCCCTGTGTTGGGTCCGGAGGGGCTGCCCCTCCGGCTGCGGAGGGCTCCCACCGCAGCAGCTCCCCGCCAAGGGCCGGGCCTGGGCCAAGTTAGAGGGACAGGAGGAGCTGCCCTGCTGTGGCCACCAATCTGATGTCAGGGGGGGAGGTGAGACCCCAGCTTTGGGGTGAAACCAGCCCAGGGTGGTGGCTTCAGGGCTCGTCCCCATCCTGCAGCATCGCCCCGGACTGGCTGGGATGCTCGTGGCTGCACCCACTCCGTACCCATTGACCCCGTTGGCGCAGTTGTGTAGAAGCAGGTCCTGCCACCACCATGTCCGTGGATGGAGCGGACACGAGACCCAAGTGCTGTCCCACCAGCAAGGCCCTGGTGCGAGGGACGGCTGCTGGGTGCGTGTGGATGAGGGGCTCTCATCCTCAGAAACTTCCCCGCGTGTCCTTAATTGTTTTGGGTTTTGCGTTGGTTTTTTTTTGGTCTTGATTGAAATTTCCGTTTGGAAATCAGTCAAAGGTCTGCTTCGCTTGGGAGCGAATCACCACTTGGGAACGCCGAGGTGGTAAACATGCCATTAATTAAATGCAGTAGTTGGAAGGTGGCTGTGAGAAAGCGTTTCCCAGATACTGCTCTGCCGATGGTGCCGGTTTGTTTTTTAAATTAATGAGAGCATATATCCATATATCACGCCGTCTCTGGCCTGTGGCTGCTGGCAGCCGCTCGGGCTGATGGACGGGGATGCCAGCTCAATGCATAATCTGTTTTCTAAAAGCAAATTGGAATATTAAAAATTCATTCCTCCCCTTGGCTTGTGCCTGCTCTTGGCATTTTAAATAATGGGGTGCTTGACTCCGTGTTGGGCTTGGGGAGGATGTTTCACTCCACCGCCTGTCGCTGCAGCATCCATCACACCTTGCCGGCGTCCGTCTGCGGGTGCAGCATCCTACTGATGGCTCCCAGCCCCATGGGGTGGCCCGTGGCTGCCAGGGGGTGGCCGTGGGGCACAGCGTTGCCTGCAGACACGTCTCAGGCCCCTCGGTGCCTGCCCACCGTGGGGGTTAGTCATCATCTAGAGATGAACGTGAGAAGTGAAGGGAGAACCTGGTGAAGGTTTTACCTGGTGGGAAACCTGCTTGGAGATGGTTGTCTCGTGGTGGGCGAGGGCTGCCCAGGGATGGCAGTATTGTCCCTTTGTGGCCCCAGCTCTCCGCTGAGGACTTCTTTTGGTGGGCTGGTGAAAATTCAGTTTGGCCACAGCTGCGTGGTGGGTAACCCCGACCTACCCCTGCACGTTGGGAGCTCAGCGAGAGCGGGTGTGAGCAGAGAGGGAGTTTTAACAGGAGCAGGAATTCCAGGGCTGGTTGGCTCAGGGTTGGATTTAAGGTTTTTGGGGCTGCTGGATGCAATGCTGCTGAGCGAGGGTGGTTTCCCCGATAGTTGCTGATGTAACCTGTTCCCTCCAGGGGCTGATGCAGGATGGCCCACAGCCAGTCTCGGAAGCGATCGCGAAGCAGGAGCAAAAGCAATTCTCGGAGCAGACAGGAGAGGAAGGAGAAGAAAAGGAGGAAAAGCAGCAAGGACTCGCACCGGGACAGCAGCTCTCCTCCCAGGAAGCAGACCTCTGGGTCTCACAGACACAAGTCGAGCTCAGCAGCAGCTAAGGAAGGTAGGGGAAGGCCTGTGACCCCACGCTTTCACATTTCCCTGGGGCAGGTGCACAGAGAGGGCCCAGGTGGGAGAATAGGGTCCCTGCTTTTAGATAAATTGCTGTCTGTTGCCTTGCTGTGCACTTTCACGCTGTGATGTGTTAGAGGTGTCAGCACAGAGGGGTCTTTGCCATTCAGACAAGAAAGAAACCAGGCTGGGAGGGGACATCCAGCTGCCCAGAGCTGCTCCACTCAACCTCTTCTTATGTATTGCAGAAAAGAAGAAGGAAGGAAAGGACAAAAAGAAGAAGGAAAGAAAGGACAAAAAGAAGAGGAAGGCAAGTACCTCTTCCTCTGAGACAGCATCTTCATCCACCAGTTCCTCCTCGTCTTCCTCTTCCTCCAGCTCCTCTTCTGATGACTCCAGTGACAGTGACTCCAAAACGAAGAAGAGTCGACACAGCAAAAAAAAGCGAGTGAAACAGAAGGACAAAAAGAAGAAGAAGAAAATAAAGAAGAAATCAAAGAAGAAGTCAAAGGAAAAGGCTAAGGAGGAGAAAGCCAAAGGAGAAGCGATGCCTGGCCCCTCGCTGGAGCAGTGGCAGAAGGAATCGCTGGTGGACTCTGGACCAGGTAATGAGGGTGTTTTGCTCCTGCTGAAGCCAGGGGCACACAAGTGTCGTGGTGGGGAAACACACTCATGTGTAACCCTTCCTGGGACCCATGTGAGGTGTGTGAGGGAAGCAGGGCTGTGTACAGGGAGGGAGCTCCAGACTCCCCTCCCTCCGATGCACCGCGGCCACCTTCGAGCCACAGCAATAGATGTAAGCAGCCACAATCAGAGATTCATTTCTGAAGTGTTTAGATGGAGTTTATAGATGTTAGTGGGGAACAAAGATGCCAAATGGAAGGTCATGGTCAGGAGTAACACATTGGAAAAGCTGGTACTGGCTTTGGGACACGAAGTGGCCCTTCCTTCACGAGGGTCATCACTGAAGCCTGGGTATCAGTGGGAAACTGGTGTGGCACGTGCCTCTGCTCAGTGCAGGCCTGGTGCTGTGCCCCTCACCAGGAGCCACCCCACGAGCACGGCTCTGACTCACTGCTGCATTCCAGTTTTAACAGATGAACAAAAATCTCGAATCCAGGCTATGAAGCCAATGACGAAGGAAGAATGGGACGCGAGGCAGAGTGTCATAAGGAGAGTCGTGGATCCCGAAACTGGGAGAACCAGGTATGAATCCCTGGGGAAAAAGGGAGACGGGTTGTCCATCCCCATCCATGTTGAATAGGTTGGAGTCCTGGAGGATGCTGGTCCATGGCACTGCAGTACTGTGCACGGACCCAGGTCCCCTTCAGCAGCAAAGGCCTGAACTGCTCCCTTGTGGATCCCCTCCCCTCAGACCTGGTGTAACTTACCCAGAAAGCGACATGTTTGACACCAAATTATGGAATTGTGCTGGGGCTCCATGCGTGGGACATGAGGCTGTGTCCCAGCCAGGAGCTGCGGGATGCAGACAGCAGAGCACCCTGCTGCCCCAGATAGAAGGTTTGTTCCTTGCTCTGTGAAGGGTTCAGCTTGTTCCCATTAAATGGGACGCTGCAACTGGGGCAGAACAGGAAGCAGAGGGGTGACTGGCTTCTCCTCACCCCACCTCTCCATGCACTTGCCTTGCAGCTCCGAGGCACTCACACTCTCAGCCCTGGTTAACATCTGGGTGCAAGTGAGGAGGGAGCGTGTGTGCCCCGTGGGGTTACAGGCAACAATCAAACCCAAGTCCATCTAGCTGCCAAATAGAAATGACCCAGTTTTTAATAAACTGCAAGCAGAAAACATGATGCTGAAGAGAATCAGGTATGACAAGCCCAGCCTTAAAATAGAAGGCAGCCTGCGGGGCCCAGGGAGGTGCGGAACAAAGGTCGGTTCCCCGTAAGGCATGTAATGAAGACAATTAAATTTCTGTTCATGTTTGGAGGTTTGAGCTGCCTCCAACACTGCTTAGAATTTGCTCAGCAAGGTGCTCCCCAGATTGGCTGCCTTTCAGGCCCAAACTGGCTCCTATTCCTGAACGGCTCTGCGGTTTCCTGGGGCAGCCAGGACCAGACCTAAACTTTATGTGGAAAAAGGATGAAGTTTTGCGGGGATTGGGGTCACTGCTGTTGAGTGAAGCCTCTGCAGATGGGGGGGTGGCAGGAGAGACGTGTATTTCAATTGTTTTCTCTTACCGTGCGCAAGCGTGACCAGCTCTGCTCACAGCAGACTCTGCCCACAGCCTGGGACAGCTGGCCCATGCAGGGGGATGCTGATTTCTCATCAGATGAGTAGCCCTCATGGCTCATGGCCCTGTGCTTGTCTTCCAGGCTTATTAAGGGAGATGGAGAAGTACTAGAAGAAATCGTCAGCAAAGAGAGACACAAGGAGATTAATAAGGTAATGGGGGACTTG